TATATATATATATATATATATATATATATATATATATACATACACATAAATAAAGAATACTTTTTCATTTAAATTAGCTTTTTTTAAGCATTTTTTTAGCTAAATTTTGCATTTTTAATTGTTTTCTATTTTAACAGCAATGGAACTATATTTAATATAATATTATTTTTAAAAAATCTATATTATTATATATTATATATTATTTTTATTACCATTTGTTATTAATATAAATATTTTGTAAAATAAGAGTCCTTCCTGTCACTTTTGATCAATTTAATGCACCATTGCAGAATAAAAGCATTAATTTCTTTCAAAAACATGTGTGTATTTTAATTCTTGGTGAGAAAAATCTCTATAAAATAAATCCTTATCCAGCTATTGCAAACAACTAAAGCAGTCTTGGAAATTCATTGGTCAAAAGGTGTGGGTAGTTTCTGTTGAACGTTTTATAGACAAAAAACTCACAGTATGTGAGTTATCGTGCAAGGTCAGTAGACATTTCAGTCGAGGCAACTGCTGTGGAAAAAAGCTAGATCTATATTTACTGTTCGGGCAGAAAGGTAACATTTCTTGAAAACACTGAGGTTTACAGAAAAGGCCCTTCAAATTCACGTCTAACATTCACTGTTTGTTTTAAACGTGCTTTGAGAGTAAAAGCTTTCCTCTGGGATTCATAAAAAGGTAGGCTTGATAAACCAAAACCACGGAATCCAGCCCTCTGATGGAGGGGGTTTTATCTGCGTGGGGGTTGCTGTTGTCTTGGTGACAGGATTTGAGCGGTGCCATCTACTTCCTTCTTTTATAGTACAGAAATAACATCAATGATAAACACACATTTGGGGTTGCTTACATTGGCATTATGCTACAGATTATATTTTACATTATGCAAAAAGGGTTCAGTGTGACATTTATTGTTCTGGGAGAGAATTACTTGTTTTTGTTTTTTCCCCACACATATGCTTCCTGGCCATTTTTCAAACCAGTTTTGATTTCCCTTTCACTTTTAAGACACTAGCTATGCCTGAAACTGCATACTGTCTAGTTAGTACAATATTTGAATTGAAACTTACTTTTTAGCCTTTAAGTATGTTCTATATAGTAAGAATATGGTTCGTCCGCCATGTTATTACTGGCACCTGACCTACCAGCGTCAGTTGCGTCACTTCACAGCCATTCATAACTCCTCTCCCGTGGCTTCATGGGATGGTAAAGTTTCCACTGAATGTGCACTACAGAATGTTAGTGGAAGTAGTAGGTCATCTAGGTACTTTTCGCTTAATGTTTTTCCGAATACTTTGTATTCGGACAGACGTACTGTTTTTCGCCTACTGTATAGTATGGAAGTAAGCATATTTGGATGCAGCGACTGTCAAGTTAAAAAATTGCCAACTTTTTAAAACTCATCTCAAAACCCCTGCATTCTGTTGTTATTCTCATTTTAATTTTTGAGGCGTCTCCTCTGGTAGCCACTCTGAAATCTCATTTGTCTAGAATTCCAGATCACCCGTGATTGACAGCACTTTCAGTGTGGACAGACAAATTGGTTTACACTTGGTTTGGACTTTGCCACAATGTTGATGATCGATTCACTGCCAAGGATTGGAACCAATCAATGACCATTATTGCTTTTTTGACAAAGTGTTTATCAAAAGGTTACTGAAACAGATCTGTAGTTCGCTCACTTTAAATGAATTGAAATGAAAATGTCTATTAAATGTCAAGTCATTTAATCAAGTATAGTGGACCTTAATGTTTTCAAATATAAAACTCAAGTTTCTGAAAAAAATCTGGGCTCATATTGCTTTATTTTGGACCCCTGCATTCTGTTGTTATTCTCATTTTAATTTTTGAGGCGTCTCCTCTGGTAGCCACTCTGAAATCTCATTTGTCTAGAATTCCAGATCACCCGTGATTGACAGCACTTTCAGTGTGGACAGACAAATTGGTTTACACTTGGTTTGGACTTTGCCACAATGTTGATGATCGATTCACTGCCAAGGATTGGAACCAATCAATGACCATTATTGCTTTTTTGACAAAGTGTTTATCAAAAGGTTACTGAAACAGATCTGTAGTTCGCTCACTTTAAATGAATTGAAAATGAAAATGTCTATTAAATGTCAAGTCATTTAATCAAGTATAGTGGACCTTAAAGTTTTCAAATATAAAACTCAAGTTTCTGAAAAAAATCTGGGCTCATATTGCTTTATTTTGATACACAGTACAATACAGATCTCTATTATTGTTAGTGTGTGTTAGATATATTATTAAAGCAGTATGTAGTGGTACTGTGAGATGTGCAACTAATAAGATTAAATATATTTTGTAATCCTGGCGAAGCTTGACTGTGGTTGTTGATCACGTCTGAAGCTGACTGTTCTCACCCAGTGTCAGTATTTATTTAGTCAGCGCTAGCCCCCTAGCAAACACAATTCTGATTGGACACATGAGCACTGCGGCTGCCCGCCCAAGTTTGTTTGGACCAGGGTTGGAGTGAGTCAACAGTCAAGTCACACACACACACAGATGCTACAAAGATGCATGGGTTTGTAGCATGAGGTGAGAGCTACAATACTTAACCCTTGTAGTGTGTCCTTGGGCCATAACACAGCCACCCACACACTGTCATTTTTTCATATATCATATATTCATAGTCAATTATACTCGACTATAAGAAGAATGCAAGTTCATACAGACATTGCATGCACAATTTGCATATTACCGGCTTGGCACGATGGTTGTGTGGTT